ACAGCTCACAGCAACCTCCAACTCCTGGGCTCAAGCGAGTCTCCTGCCTCAGCCTCCCAAGTAGCTGAGACTACAGGCACCCGCCACAACGCCTGGCTATTTTTCGGTTGCAGCCGTCATTGTTGTTTGGTGGGCCCGGGCTGGATTCGAATCTGCCACCTTAGGTGTATGTGGCTGGCGCCTTAGCCACTTGAGCCACAGGCACCGAGCCTAATTTTATATGTTGAAGCAAATAAATTAATATAATTTTCCTGATCTTACTCCAAATAATCAAGAATAAAAACATTTATGCAGTAAAGAAACAATACTTTTTTTATTTCACTCAATATGTATACCATAAAGACTAATCATGAAATCTAGAAAGAACTGCAGGTATTGGCAAAAATCACTGACTACAGTCACTGCAAAGTGATTGTTCCTGAATGTCTGTGAAAAGTTAAAAGGCATTCTATCTAATACATAAAGCTTCATGTTCTGTTTTTTGCAAAAACCACAACTCAATTTGTTTTGAATTTCACCTATGTTGTAGTATCCATTTACAGCCCTTAAAGGCCTTCCAAATTGTTAGGTAATTAGTGTATCCTGCTGAGACATTGGGCCACTAGGTTAAATTCTGTATTTTAGAAAATGAATAGTATTTACCCTCTTTTTAATTTCTTCTTGCCTTTTCTTCTGTTGCCTTTCTTTTTCTTTTATCTTCTCTGCTATTTTTTTCTTTTCTGAAATTTTTACTTCTGAAAATAAAGAAATGTTTTATTCAGTTGTATTGAATACTTACCAGCTTATGGATGAGACAGACATGACACTCATATACTTAAAAGAAACCAAACTTTTCCCAGCTTCAGTTTCAAATGTTGATTTCCTCACAATTAATAGGGAAATTCTGGAACTCTTCCTTTTCCTCTCTAATCTGACCCTTAAGATCCAGATATCTCCCTTCATATTTTCCCATCATGCTTTAGGCAGGACTTACATCAATCATAGAGCCACACCCCCATCCTCCTCTCCTAACAATACCAAGCACTCACAGAAATACAGCAGGCATCAATCTAATTATGTTTTCAAAAGGTTTTAAGGTAAAGAGACACAGAAGAAAAAAAATGGGAGTGAAAGGATGCTTCAGGTTTCTAAACAAAATTTTCAACTTTGTGAGCATCTTGTCATTTGTCTTAACATTTGTCTTGTACGTGGTACTTAACATTAAGTACCAAATGCTCACCAAGACATAAAACTCAAAATGGAGGAGGACCCAGTGGCACACCTGGTTTTACTTCTGCTTCTTCTTTTTTTTCATCATCATCGTCATCCCAGTTATCCTAAAGAAAAAAAAAACCTCCATTAATAATCATATATGTTTGCTTTTCCATGTAAACCTTATCATCAACTTATCTAACTTCAGAAAAACAAACTTTTTTTTTTTTTTTTTTGAGACAGAGTCTCACTCTATTGCCCTCAATAGAGTGCTGTAGCATCACAGCTCATACCAACCTCTAACGACTGGGCTTAGGCAATTCTCTTGCCTCAGCCTCCTAACTAGGATTTACAGGTGCCTACTGCAATGCCTGGCTATTTTTTGTTGCAGTTTGGCTGGGGCCGGATTCAAACTTGCCACCCTCAGTATACAGGGCCAGCGCCCTACCCATTGAGCCATAGGTGCCGCCCAGAAACAAACTTTTTGATATTCCTTTAGTACCACATTATATTTATAAATTTATGCAGGAAGAACATCTTTATAATGCTAAGTTCCCCTAGCCAAGAACATGGGTTATCCTTACATTGTTCAAGTCTACTTTTTTGTATCTTTCAGAAGTGTTCCAAAGTTCCCTTAGAGGTTTTGCACATTTTTTTAAAGTTTATTCCTAAATATTTCATCTTCTATCTTGCCATTATAGTTTTTTTTCCTATTATGTCCTATAACTGGCTACTACTTGTGTATAGAAAAGCTATTGGCTTTCATATGTTAATTTTATAACATATAAAATTCTACCTTAGTGAATTCATCACTAAGTTATCACTTAAGTTAAATTTATCATTGACTCTCTAGGGCTTTCCTGGTATACTAACATAACATCTAAAAATAAAAGATAGCTTTACTTCTTTCTAATTCTTATGCTCTACAATTTCTTTTCTCTAACTGCAGTCTAAACCTCTAGTACAATCTTGAAAAGCAACAGAGATAACAAGCAAGATATCCTTGCCCTGGCTTAGCGCCTGTGGCTCAAGTGGCTAAGGCGCCAGCTACATACACCTAAGGTGGTAGGTTCAAGTCCAGCCCGGGCCCACCAAAAACAACAATGATGGCTGCAACCAAAAAATAGCTAAACATTGTGGCAGGCGTCTGTGGTCCCAACTACTTGGGAGGCTGAGGCAGGAGACTCGCTTGAACCCAGGAGTTGGAGGTTGCTGTGAACTGTGATGCCACAGCACCCTACCCAGGGGGATAGCTTGAGGCTCTGTCTCAAAAAACAAAAAAAGATATCCTTGCCCAGATAATAAGATATTCTTGTTTTGCTCCTCTCAATGCAAATGCCTCTAGTGTTTGCCCATGAAGTGCTATGCATTCCTCCCAATTTATACAGTACAATTGATCAAACTTTTTTTTCATTGCCTCTGGATTTCAAGTCAGTTAGAAAGTTGTTTCTTGGCTCGGCGACTAT